TTGGTGGACTTCAAGGGCTGATTTGGTAACCCAATCTTCCTCCTCTTGGACTTCAATTTGGACTACCAAATAATTGTAAAACTTGGACAATTCATCTCCTTTGGGCTTGAGCTCTTCCTCTACAATTAAAAGCTTCTTTATTTGCCATTGAAGTCTAGCAACCTTAGCTTGCAACTCTTTAGCTTGAGATCTTGTAAATGGCCTTGGAGCTTCCAAAACTCTATCATCTCTATCATTGTCCTTAACTATATCCTTGTTCTTGATGCTATCAAGAACTAACTTACGGCCAACATACTGTTCATTTAAAATTAGGAAAGCATATATGCTTTTTATTCTTCAAAAAATCACTTTTGACAAGGCTCAAGGCATCATAAAAATTTCAGTAAACTTTCCCATAACCACCTCAAAGTCGCAACACTATGACTCCTTTTTAACACTCACGCTCCCTTCCCCCAAAACAATCACAGATACATAAAGACCGAGTGACGGGCATGGACCAAGGTCAATTACCAAAGAATAAAACAACCCCTAAGCGAAGTCATCCTCCCTCCCCATGTCAATGGGGCGGAACTGGCTCGTGGTTTTCATTCCCCCTCATCATCCACAACTAACAGGCCCCTACATACTAAAAACCTTCTTTGCTCCACACCGCCCATCTCCCATTCCCTTCACCAAGTGAAATTTGCAGTCTTCGCTCTCTTTCTCACACCATTCTCTCTTCTAACTAACCTGTGCAATTCAGACTGCACCATCCTCGAGTGCTTAACCTGTCTACCAACAAACCAACCTTCCTCTTTCTCACACCATTCTCTCTTCTAACTAACCTGTGCAATTCAGGCTGCACAATCCCTGAGTACTTAACGGGCAAAAGGTTTTGTGAAACCAGAATTAACCTCTTCCGTGCCATAGCTAGTCCAACCTACTTATTTCACAACAGTTGCTTCACTATTCAAGTAGAGTTAATTATACTCTTCGAGAGCTAATCAGCTCATCAATGTAGATTTCAGTCTTCTTAGCACAATAGTATGTATAGAGTTCCTTTTTACAAACTCCATCAGTCAATGTAGGCACAAAGATATGTTGAGGGGGTAAACATTGTTGATCAGTCATTTGAAGAGATATATCTGACAAACCTATCTAGAGGATTAAACAAGAACAAGGAGGGCTTAATTTTAGACCAGAGAGAACATTCAGAAACCCAATACTTCAAAGGGATTAAGAGCAACATTTTTGAAATTGCATCTTATCTGTGCTAAATACTTACCTGCACCCGTTGTTAACTCCAAACCAAACATTCTAATCTTACCATCAAAAAATTAAAGTGAGAATACATATCACGAAATCATGTTGAGTAATAAACGCATGTATAAAAGACACATGTCTTGCATCCAAGTTTGGTGCAATAGGATGCATGCACGACTTTATCTACCCGGGATGAGATTATAAAATCAAAACATCTAACAAAACAAAATTAACCATCACGCATAAGACCAGTTTTTTACACGTGATCTAAAAGCATCCTCTTTTTTATCAGGAGGATTTATAGAGCATTAAACAGCTGCTAAAGTAATATTATAAAGAAGTGTCTAAGCTTTAGAAGTATTCCCAGTATGTTGCGATCATATAGCTAATGCAAAACATATCAAAAGCAAATTCATGTCTCACCACATAGAATGGAACGTTTAGTCATGTACAAGTAACTAAGTGAACCAATTATGAACTATGAAGTAACTTCTAATCCCATATAAACAACTATGAATAGCCACGGATAGCTTATGTACAATTAGTTACGATAGGCAGAGTCCACAAATATATATACACTATTTACATTGAATCAGAGCCACAGCTCCAATAGAATTTACTCAGTAAAATTGAATTTACCGATTCAGTAGACAGAAGTGAGTCACACAGGAACCTTGTCTCTAGCTGGATCGCTGAATCCATCAGCCAAAATTCTCACCACTTTCTTGAACGCAAAATGTAAGCAATTCGACAACGCAACCCAACACATCAACTCGTAGACCAAATCAAAAGCCGGATCCGAAAACGAGTTAGACGATGATTCTTCCCAATTTGCCCCTCCAAATCCGTCGAAATTCCATCCCCTACCACCACCAGCACCACCACCACTACCTCCGCCGTTCCAGCTACTACCACCGCCACCAAACGGCCCATCATAATCGAATAAAAAACCGTTTTCATCTCCCTCATCAGCTCCACCGCCGCCTAAGGACTTCCGTCTAGTCCGCCGCCTTGTCTTACGAGCTAGCCTTCGAGGTGCCGTTTTGACGTTATTGTATTTAACAGGCGGCGGCGCTAGCACATCGACAGGGAAAATCACGGCGGAGATTTGACGAACTCCGGCGGGGGAAGGAGATATTTGTTGCTCCGATGAGGAATCGGAGAGTGACAGAACGTTGCTGCGATTCAGAAGGAATTTTGAAAACCCTAGACCTTGGGTTGTGACCACCGTCGTTAGCGTGTCGGAGATCAAAGAAATTTCCATTGATAATATTCCAATTTGGATATCGAAGAATATCAATTTTGGGTTGAAGTTTTTTATATTGGTGGTTCTTTGGAATTTTCGAGCGGCACAAGAGAGAAACGTGTGATTCTCTGCAATCGGTGTCTGTTGCAACGATTTTTACGTGTGTTTTTTTCTTTTTCCTTTTTTCAATTTTGACGGCCTCGCTTTGGTTGTGCTGTTTGTGAAGGGCTGGGGAATAGATAGTTATAATACAAAATTTATTCCAAAAGCATAATATTAATTTAACTAGGAAACATAAAACATATCATAATAGGAAGATACTAACAGCGCAAATAGATAGCAAATTCTTAAAAACCTACGATTAGTCGGGGAGTATCTAATAAAAAGTGAGTTCAAGAAAGTGGGACTCAATCCGGGTGGCAAAATTGACCCAAACTCATGTAATCCGCCTAATCAATGTTGTTTTTTCTTCAATAATATATATATGAATGATTAGAAAAATATCTAGTAAGTGTTTGACCAAAAAGTTGTATACGGCCCGAGGCACAGTTCGAGGTTCGACCTCGAGGGTCCCTATGCTCGACCTCGGGGCAGTGCAGATCGGCGACTATCATGGATAAGCGGGAAATTCCCGAGGCGCGTGATTAAGATTGACCAGGTCTACTAGAATAGTACAAGTCAGTACCGTGACATTAAATAGCTGTACCAGTTTCATATCTTTGTAATAAATGCATATGTACTATGTTGGGACTCCCCCTCCCATATAAAGGGGACCCTTATTATTTCTTGCACAGATGATATTCAATACAAGAACAAGAACATTCTCAACTCTCTAACTTAAACACTCTCCATTGTCTTTCCTTTAATTTATTGCTTACATTTATTGTGTTTCATTGATTGTTCTTCAGTTATTACTCATCATTGATCATAAAGAGCCATTATTGAGGCCCTTGGAGCTGCTAGACCTTCATCGGTCAGCCCTAGTCAAGCACTCTAGCTCGACCTCGAGGCCAGAATATGCCAGCTCGAGGCCCCGATTCGCGGCCGTCCGGTTTGAATAATCATACTGCCCCTTACTCTTACTTTACTTTCCTAGCTCACACTTAGCATCTATTGTCTAACAACTATCATAAAAATAAATCACGTATTTTTAAAACCACAAAATCAAATCTAATTGTAATTACCATTTTCAAGGTAAATAGTTTGGCGCCCACCGTGGGGCTAAAAATAATAGTGATTGTTTTAGTGTCGGTTTATTGAAAACAGAAGTTATTCTTTACACTTTTTTTGCCCAAGAATCTTTGATTTCAGTTCAAAATGTCTAACTCAGTAAATGCACATGAAAACAACGGTCCTGAGGACCATGGAGAGAATGGTGTAGCTGTTCCAGGCGTCGGTGTACCACTGCGAAACCCTGAGGATGCACCAGAGCCAATCCCCGTGGATGTGGTCTCACACAATGCCCAACACGTCGATATAAGCTCCCACACTAACGGGAGTATACGCCAAGAAAACCAACAAGAAGCTCAGAAAACCCCAGCTCGGGAGGAACAAGAGGTTAGCCTTCACGTCATTTTTGAGATGTTGCAGGCACAACAGTTGGCGATTGCTCAACTGCAAAGCCACCAAAAAACTCCAAGCATAGCAGCACCGGAAAACGGCTCCTTGAGCCGAACAGGTACTGGAAAGATTGATCAACAACGGGTCAGCAGCCGACCCCGCTATTATGAAGATGCTCGAGGACCTCACAAATAGGATTGAATCGGGCGAAAAGAAGATAGAAGCTAATGATAAAAAGGTGGAGACCTACAATTCAAGGGTCGATCAGATTCCGGGCGCACCCCCGATCCTGAAGGGTGTTGATTCCAAAAAATTCGTACAAAAGCCATTCCCATCAAGTGCGGCTCCGAAGCCCATCCCGAAGAAATTCAGAATGCCCGATCTCCTGAAGTACAATGGAACCTCGGATCCAAACGAGCACGTCACTGCTTACACTTGTGTCGTAAAGGGAAATGACCTGAAGGACGTCGAAATTGAATCCGTCTTGTTGAAGAAATTCGGGGAAACACTTTCAAAATGGGCCATGATGTGGTATCACAACCTATCCCTGAATTTGATAGACTCATTCGCCATACTGACAGATTCTTTTATAAAGGCACATGCCAGTGCCATCAAGGTTGCTACGAGGAAGTCCGATCTCTATAAAAACAAATAGAGAGAAAACGAGATGTTGCGGGAGTTTGTATCTCACTTTCAAATGGAGCGAATGGAGTTACCACCAGTCTCCGATGACTGGGCAGTGCAAGCCTTCACCCAAGGTTTGAATGAACAAAGCTCGGTAGCTTCGAAACAGCTAAAGCAGAACTTGGTTGAATATCCCGTCGTGACTTAGGCGGATGTCGACAACCGATATCAATCAAAGATTAGGGTCGAGGACGACCAACTGGGAGCCCCTCGGGCTCAGTATATCCTAGCAGGCTCCTGGCAAAGGAGCCAAAGCCGAGCAAGGAAAGGTACCAACCATACACTAAAGATCGAAGAAACACCCCCAAGGCGTAACATACCCCAAAACGACCGAAGGGCAGATCGAGGCCAGAATCCTCGAGACTCGTGAGCAGAGCCGGATTCGACAGATACACAGGGCCAACAGAGACACCCCGGTTATTTGAGTACAACTTCAACGTTGATGTTTCAGACATCGTATCATCTATAGGTAAAATTAAAGATACCAGGTGGCCAAAGCCCATACCAGCAGACCCGTCGCAAAGAAATCCTAACCTGATGTGTGAATTTCATGGCACACACGGTCATAGGACCAAAGATTACAAATAGCTCCGAGAAGAAGTAGCCCGACTACTTAACAAAAGGCACCTCCGAGAGTTCCTCAGCAACCGAGCCAAAAATCAATTTTGGGAAAGAGAAGCGAACATGAAAAATGAAACAGAAGAACCACAACATGTCATCCATATGATTGTTGGGGGAGTCGACATCCCATAGGAACCCATTGTCAAACGAACAAAAATATCCATCACCAGGGAAAAGCGAACTCGAGGTTACATACCCGAGGACGCTCTCACATTCAGCGATGAGGACATCGAGACCCTGTCTCAGCCTCATAACGACGCATTGGTAATTTCTTTTCTTGTGAATACATTTCAAATTAAACGTGTGCTTGTGGATCCAGGTAGCTCGGCCAACATTATCAGGTCGGGGGTGGTGGAGCAGCTCAGACTGCTCGACCAGATCGTGCCCGCCTCTCGAGTCGTTAATAGATTCAACATGGCGAGCGAGACAACGAAAGGGAAAATCACCCTCTCGGTCAATGTGGCCGGCACAACCCAAAACGTTAAGTTTCATGTCATCGAAGGAGACATGAGATACAATGCCTTACTCGGAAGGCCATGGATACACTGTATGAGAGCAATACCATCAACCTTTCATCAAATGATGAAGTTTCCAATGAAGGATGGAATAAAAATGGTATACGGGGAGCAGCATGCAGCGAGAGAGATGTTTGCGGTGCACGATGTGGCACCAGCATCAATGCCTTCAACATTGAAGAAGCCAAAGGATAAGCAAACAACGAAGTAGCAATTGTAAGCTACATTCTTGGCTGCATCCGAGTATATAAGCAAAGGACAGTACCGCGTCCCCGAAGCGAGTTGTTGAAGCATATCGAGGCTCGAAACGCCATCACTACTAAGGTATAACCGTCTCCCTTTTTATTTTACATCTTACACTAACCCGTGTGCAAGTGTCCGGTTAGAAAAATCGAGGCACTTTCCAGCTTGAAGACCTTAGGTTTTAAAGCATGCGTTGCACTCTTTTCCTTCGATCGGATTTTATCCCAAGAAGGGTTTTACTGGCAAGGTTTTTAACGAGGGAACATCTATATGCTACCAAAGGAGAACTTAACAAGTATTCAAGGCTTCTCTTCAATCAACCTTGAATACTGGGGGGGCATCCCCCCGGATATCATCTCCTCGGAGAAATCAGGATAAGCCAAAGAGGGTCTCGATAGAAAAATGATGTATCGGGCCAAACGGTCAAATGAACCGTGTCCGCATAGAATAATCAAACCCTCGACGATGAAAACATGTATACTTGTACCAAGTAATAAAAAGAGCACCTTTTTCCATCAAAACGCTTCGCGCTTCAAAGAAATTTGCTATTTTTACAAGAAACGGCCCAGGGCCAGAGATTTTCCGAACACTCGGGAACCGACATCAAAAACTCAAAGCCGTAAGACCTTCGGGCCGGAAACTTCGAGTTCATAAGCCCACAATGAGGCAACATCAAGTTTTCAAAGAACGACTCCAAGGCCAAAAACTCTGGATATCTCGGGGACTGTCACCGACTATCACCCATCGAGCTATCAAAACTCGAGGTCATAAGACCCCAAGCGGGCAACCTCGAGCCCGAAAGCCTCCATGTGGCAATACTAGAGGATGTAAGACCTCCATAAGACAATAGCAAATCTGTAAGACCTCAAGTAAGGCATGACTTATACTTGTGCTAAGTAACCAAAAAATCTGTAAGACCTCAAGTAAGGCATGTTCAAATTTATAAGACCTTACAAAAGGCATAATCCCGATCTTAAAGTCCCTATATATTCGAACTTGTAAGACCCCTAAAAAGGCATACCCTCAATATAGATGCCGAGGCTACCTCACTCGGGGGCTAAAAGGCTACGGCCAAATACAATGACTACGGTCACAAGGCTGTACCAGCTAAACTAACGTGACTTGGGGACGCCCGACTGTCGTCATAAAATCACAGACCTTCAATTACTTCGAAAAGAACCGGTTAATCAGCCTACCCTCATCATAAGCAAAAGAGATTCGATCACATCAGCTCCAAACAATAAAAAGGCTTCGAAACAATTCAGCCATCAAGCGAAACCTCCCGATGTGCTCATCTATCGTCACATAACGGCTCACAATCGAGGTTCTCATCGAACCATCGAAGAGTCGGATGAACGCAAAAAACTTCAACGAGGGAAAAATAAAGCCTATGTTAGAGGTCGTACCGACCCAATGCGTAAAAGCCACTGTCGCCAGCTTAAATTAAAGGTCGTACCAACCCAACGCGTAAAAGCCACTGTTGCTAGCTTAAATTAAATGTCAATTGACCTAATGCGTAAGAGCCACTGACACCAGCTTAAATTAAAGGTCGTACCAACCCAACGCGTAAGAGCCACTGTCGCCAGCTTAAATTAAA